TTCAATTGCTTCATCCTTATTATTAAGCAAATAAACATAACAATATCGAGCGCAATCGTCAATAAAAGTAATAAAATACTTTTTTCCACCTCGAGATGGTGTCGACTTCATATCGCAAATGTCAGTATAAATCAAGTCTAAAGGATTTGAATTCCTTTCAATGGACTTATAAGGATGTTTTACAAACTTAGATTCAACACATATTTGACATTTTAATTTATTACACTCGAATTTAGGCAATACTTCTAAACTAATTAACTTCCGCAAGGTTTTATAATTGACATGTCCTAAACGAATATGCCTTAAATTATTTGACTCCAACAAATAAGAAGAAGCTGAAATTTTATTCATACTGTCAACAACCATTACATTGAGTTTGAAAAGGCCCTCCGTGAGGTAGCCTTTTCCAACATACATTTCATTCTTGCTTACAACAACTTTATCAGAAACAAATACACATTTGAATCCATTCTTCACAAGTAAAAAATTAGAAACTAAATTCTTCCTAATAGTAGGAACATGAAGAACGTTGTTGAGCGTTAACACCTTACCGGAAGTCATCTTCAGGAATATCTTCCCATAACCTTCAATCTTGGTTGTTGCATTATTTCCCATGAAAACTCTTCTTCGGGACCAGCAGTAGAGTAAGTCGCAAATGCTTCTTTGACAGCACAAATATGTCGAGTGGCTCCAGAGTCAATCCACCACTTCTTCGGATTTCCAACTAGGTTGCATTCCGAAAGCATTGCACAAAGATCATCAATGTCATCATTCTTCTCCACTATGTTGGCTTGTCCCTTCTTTTTATCCTTTTTCGGGAGACGACAATCAGGGCTTTTGTGACCAACTTTTCCACAATTGTAGCAGTTGCCCTTGAATTTCTTTTTGTTCTGCTCCTTAGTCTGTCTAGAAGACCTCTTCCTTTTCTTACTTTTTGAAGCAGTCTCCTCAACGATATTAGCTTCCATGATCGTTGAATTTCCACGAGACTTCTTCTCGGCTGTTTTGTTGTCTTCCTCAATCTTTAGACGTATCACAAGATCTTCCAACTTTATTTCTTTGCGCTTGTGCTTAAGATAGTTCTTGAAATCTCTCCACGAGGGAGGCAATATTTCAATCATTGCAGCCACTTGAAATGCTTCATTCACGACCATACCTTCAGCAATAAGGTCGTGAAAAATAAGTTGAAGCTCCTGAACTTGGGTTCCCACAGTTTTGCTGTCTATCATTATATAGTCTAGAAACTTGGCAACCACGAACTTCTTCAAGCATGCATCTTCCGTCTTGTACTTCTTCTCAAGTGCGTCCCATAATTCTTTCGAAGTATTTATCGCATTGTACACATTGTACAAGTCATCCTCTAAAGCGCTTAAGATATAGCCTTTGCAAAGAAAATCTGCTTGCTTCCACGCCTTAACAATCATGAACTTCTCATTGTTCGGCATGTCTGCAGCAGGCACTAGAGGCTCTTCACTAGTGAATTTCTGCATACCAAGTGTGGTAAGCAAGAAGAACACCCTTTGCTGCCATCCTTTGAAGTTGGCTCTAGAAAATTTCCCCGGTTTCTCTGCCGGAGGAACAACAGTGCGGCTTGACGAGGCTATCGTCGTTGCAGCAACAATCGCAGAAGGATTTCCGTTATCAATTGCCATTTCTCACTGTCAACAACAGAAGAGTTCAATTAATGGCAAAACAGTATGTAAAAAAAAATAAGTTTTTATATACTGTTACATAGAAAACGAAAAAGCTTTTATGTTCTTCAAATCGTTTTCTGAATTTCAATATTCTGATGAAGTTTTTACATCTTCAAATCAGAATAGTAAAATTCAGACGGAGTAGAAAACCACAAATGTTTTAATCTCCACAAACAGAATACAGAATATAATAAAGTAATTTCCTTTAGATTGTTATCAAAACTGTATTGCTGTAAAATTAATAAAACAATAAACTTTCTGGAAAAACAGAAACAGAAAGTTAGTAGAAGTAGAACGTCAAAATATATTCTGGAAACAGTATAGTAACTTCAATATAAATTCTGAAAATAGTATATGAATAAATCGAGCCCACTGAATACACAGTGTGTCCTTAAGGAAATTATTCCCCTCAAGTACCTGAGGTTCTGGAATATAGCCTCCCAGGATAGAACGATTTAACTCACCGGAGTGTTGGTACCAAAAACGCCGATGAACAGCGAACCACTCGAAGGCTGTAAAATACACTGGAATTTTATGTGCAGAAGAAGAAGAAGAAGAAAAAGAAGAAGAATAAGAAGATCAGAAAATTTCGTAAGTAAATATTCTAGGATTTGAAGGAATATTTATAGCCAATTTGGCACTGTTTCTGAAAAGGTTTGCAACCTTTCAGAATAGCCATTGCTGTTGGAACAGGTTTGACACTGTTTCTGAAAAGGTTTGCAACCTTTCAGAACAGCCACAACTGTTGAAACAGGTGGAGAAATATTGCAGGAAAAACAAAACGGATTTAAAATAATCAGGGAAAGAAAACGGACTGGACTAGACCGAGTCGTGGGTCATGGGTTATTCCAGATTGAATTTTCGTTAATTAATTTAATTAAGCCGAAGCCAAGCCGAGCGAGCGATGACGGCGTGAGACTTGCCTTCTTCTTAACTCTTTAAGAGCTAAAAGATGAGCTTCTCTGTATATACACAAAGATTTTCTTTCCTTCTACCAATGAGGGACAAAGTGCATTAGTAAAGTTAACTCATTCAAAATTTCATTTCCCTCCATTTCTTTTCCCACAATTTTCCATTCACACCTCATTTGTTATTAATAACAAAATCCAACATAAACTTGCAATATTATAAAGAAAAATTATGATACAGTGTAATATTTTATATAAAAATGTAGGGTAAATGATAAAATAAAATTATTTTAAAATAATGAAGGGTGAGATTGAGAGAAAAAGATAAGGTAACGACGCGACCACACTAAATCGGTCGTTACTTAGAGTGGCATATTTCATCGTTATGTAACGACGGGTTTAACGATACGATGCAATAAAATTTAAATAACAATCAAAACAAACATTATATTTAACGTAACAATCGACACAATACAATGGATAACAACCATCCAAACAAGCAGTAAGAAGTCCTTGGGAAAGTAGCCATTCCCAATGATAGCTTATACAAAAAGGAACAAGTGATGAAAATTTCACGAATATATAATGAAACAAGAAAGACCGTTCAAAGCCACATTTAAGGTAATCAACAATCAACTAACGATAAAAGAAAATTACAGTATTTTTTACCAGATTACTCACCCTGTCATTCTCTTGTTCAAAATTTTTAGTTCTTTCCACCAGTCTCATGCTTCAATTAGAAAAATTAGGTGGAGCAAGCATATTCTAAATTTATTCTTTACTTGTGTTTTTTTTTTTCCTTCTACTTTTCTCCCAAACATAAAATATGACTCGAGCAAATTCTTTATGAAACATAAGATATATTATAATTTGTGCATAATTATAATAAGACCAAGTGGAGTGGATTCTTTCAAGTCTAATATAATTCCTCGATATTGTATTTCCTTTTTTTCGTTTACATGGCTGTAGTTGAACTCATCACCGATGACGTGCAGATTACGAGCTTCGGATAAAAACTTATCCGCACGAGCTGTTTGTACCAAACCAATAAATATATGACATGTGTCTTGCATATGGATTTCAATCATTTAACCATGATAAATTACATGTATTCTCATCTAATTAAATTAATTAACCATAGTGAGTAATATAGTTTGGTATAAATACCCGGTGTGGGTAAGTATTTATATATATGAACTGTATACCTTTGTTAAAGAAAGAATTCTGAAACGGTATATAATTAAGTAGACATTGGTACTGGCATTTAACACCCCATCTAGGATCCTATCATCTTTACTTCTTAAATAGCCAAATTATAATAATAGTTGTACTCCAGAAAACTAAAAAGAACGCAAGAAAGCAAAATATTTATTGTGTACCAGCTAGCTTTTGCTTCCTTCTACCTATGATTAAGGTACCTAAGCGTTCGAAATTGACTCTATAAATAAGTAGTTAAGTGTTTACATAAAAATATTAAAATCCAATAATAAATTATTAATGTATTTGATAAAAAGTGATGATAAATTTTTTTTTCTTACTGAAATGTCCTTTTATATAAAAATATGAATTTAGAAGTGTAAATACTTGAGAAAGGGCTAATTATTAAAATGCAGTGGGGAGAGATTTAGGAGTTCTGATTTTGGAATAGCACTTCAGACAAAAATTATGAATAAAATAGTAAAATGTTTGATCAAATCTTAAGTAAGAATTTGAGTGATTTTGATTTATAAGCATTTAAGTGATTATCAAACATGTAAATAAACTAAAAATGCTTATTAATTGAAGTGGCCAACTTATTAGGTTATTTCAGCTTTATTACCGGTCGCATTGCCTTGCAAGCAATAATTAATTATACAGACTGCTGCAGAAGATAATACACAAATGACAGAACGGTACATGCATCTCTATTTTGGCGACCTTGAACTTCCAAAAGGCCTCCATTTAAGCATTTTGATACGTGTGGTCTTAAGCATGTCAAGATATTTGTGTAGTCCTAAATTTCTGTCATTAAGGTTAATAACAAGTTTAAAATTAAACTATTTTTAAATATAGAGAACGTGTCGTTCTTTTACAACGGACTAAAAAGCAAACAATATCACATAAATTCAAAAAAAAAATAGAATAATTGGGTAAACTATTTTAAGTTTTATGTACTATGTAGAAATTATAAAGTAGTTCAAATAGATGAAGTAATTATAGGTTAATATGTATGAAGATATTAATTAGTAACATCACATAAATTGAAAAGACAAAATTCAAAAAAGTCTAGTCAAGTAACGCGTAAAATTGAGACATTTAATGTGAACACTTGTTTAAATTAGTTTTCTAACAGTCATCAACTCGGGGAAAGTAGCCGATGTTGAATTTCAACATATTTAGACTTCTCCATTATATAGTCTGACCAATAATGGTGGATCTTGCCCAGAAGCATTATCTCTAAAATACAAATCCTCAATTTTCCTCTCTTTCTTCCTTAAATCTTTCAACAAAAAATGGATAAGAACGAATTCATCTCTCTTAGAGATGGTCCATTTCCTTGTAGATTTCGTTATATATCAGAAGATAACATTCAACAAACATCAATTAGTGCCAAAAATCATCAACCAAACCATAAAATTGATGAAATAGAAAGAATTGGCAGTAATGAGCGAAAACATTTCAGCCATCGACATAACTTGTTAATGTACTCGTTACGAGCATCAGATTTTGTTCACTGCTATTTTTGCGAGACAATTATTTCAGGCATGGCGTATGGTTGCAAACGTTGTAGATATTTTCTACACGAATCCTGTTCTGAATTCCCACAACTTATTGAACATTTATCTCACCCTGGCCATCAATTAACCCTCAAGTACACTCCCATTGATAGTGGCTATATTTGCAAAGCATGTCATGTTGGTGACAATCCTGCTTTGTTATTTAACTTTCATTATTCTTGTAATCTCTGTGATTTTGCTATTCATATGGGTTGTGCTTCTATGCCTTGTAAAGTTTTTCACAAGGAAACAGGACTTTCCCTTTTCTACTCAAATCCTTTGAAAAATGAAGCTGGACCACTCCTTTGTGATATTTGTAACCATTCAATAAACAAGACCAATTCTTGGGTATATTATGACCATAGTCATAATTTCATAACCCATTTTGGTTGTGCTGCTGATTCTATATATGGAAAAGGGAAAGATGATAAATCTTATATTATGGGTGTGAAAACTGGATTGACAAATCTTGACGGAGATGATACTTCTATAGTTCACTATCAAAAATATGATGATGGAAAAAAAGATGAGCGATTCTTTCACAGACATGGTTTGCATTTATTGGATCGTTCACAAGATAATATTGTCAAGAATCGTAAATGTGGAATATGTGGATTAGATCTAAGTACAGATAAGAAAAAAGGATGTTCTACTTGTGATTATATAATTCACGAGAGATGTTCTCACTTGCCTGAGAAAATTCAACATCCATTTCATCCACATACACTTACACTTGTTCCGAAAAAAGATGGAGTTGAAGTTCAATGCAATGGTTGTCGTGGTTGTCACACCAACTACACAGTTCTTTATCACTGCAAGATTTGTGATTTTCAACTTCATCCATCTTGTGCAGCTTGTCCAAGGAGATTGAAAAAGCTTGATTTGACGTTATGCTACGAATTTCCTTATAAGAATGAGGTCTCAAAATTATTTTGCAACTATTGCTCAAAAGTCATCAACAAGGATCAATGGCTGTATTATGGAAGAAGTAAGGACGAGAAGAGACATATTACTTGTCAACTTGCTGTTGGTGTTTCAAATTGCTATGTCACATTACGCGATTTAGAGATCGAGCCATGAATAGCAAGAAGTCAGTCATATTCCATATTTCAATATTGGAAAGGTAGGACAGTTCCAACCTTAAGACTAGGTCCTCTTTGGGTTTCATAGAAATGCTTCATTTGTTTTATTTTATGAATAAATTAGAATGAATGGAAATGTATTTAGGGAAATTATGTTTTTTGCCACGAAAAAATATATGTAACTAGATGACTATAATTTTTTCCGTCTCTTTATGTAACCTTTGTTTTCCAAGAACCAGGTCCTCTCTAATAGTGTCCAAAATAGAAACTTCCATTGTAATCTAAATTCGTCTATTATTTTATTTTATTTTGATTTATTATATTGTCTATATTCATTGTTTTGCTTTGACTTTTTGCTTTTCAATTGTTCTATGAATACAATTTCTTCGTACTCCCTTCTTTACAAAAACTGTTTTTCTTTCAAGTTGACTTCTCAAAACTAAAAGAAAATTAACATCAGTTGAACGTTCAATTTAGTTGTATTATATTTGAAATTAGGAAACAGTAGACCGTAGTAGAATGTTTCTATTACGTATTCTATCGTTTCGTTTCTATCAATTTATCGAGAGGAAAATTGAAAATTCTAGTTTGAAAACGTCTCCTACTACAATTTGATTGTTTAAGTGCGCCACAAATTGACTTTTCAAACCGATTACTCCACGTGCTTTTTAATTGAAACTAGTAGTTTTTTATTTTTTATTTTTTTATTTTCTGCCTGTGTAAAGCCTGTCGTTACTTCCCTTTGAAAAAAAAAAAAAAGATTTTCATCACACTCGTCATTTTTAAATTAGATACAATAAAAATCTATCAAACCACGTCAAAAGATCTTCCATGTTGAAATTAAATATTGATTATTGTCTTGATCCACGTGCCTAAATGATGACGTGTAACTCAATATGTTGAAATTCTCTTTTGGAAAACTATTGGAAGTAGGGTGTTCATAAAAATAAAAAAAATGAACCAAATCGAAAACCGAATCAAATTGATCAAAAAAACTGACACTTTTTGTGTTTGGTTTTGATTTTGAATTTTAAAAATCGATTAAATTTAGTTTTAATAAAAAAAATAACGAAAAACACCGTACCAAACCGACTATTGAAGTATCTATTTAAAATTTATTATCACACACACACATATATATTTTTTAAACAAAGTTCATAAAATTTTATGGTACATGTTAATCGTTTGCACTTTTAGTCTAGTTCTTTGCCTTTACATACTAGCTTGATTGGTAATTTTCTTTTGCTAAGTACAAGAATCTATTTCACATTAAAATAATTTATTTTTAATTGAGTCCTTAAATTATTCATCACTATTTCATTTAATTATCATCAATATATCTTGATAAATAATAAATTTCTCAAAGAGCAACTGATGTTACGCTGAAAATGTAGTCATCGAAATATGTGTTTGGTAGTATATGTATCATATTTAAGAAAAAAACCGACAAATAACCGAGAAATGAAAAAATCGATAAAAAACTGACTTAATTGGTTTGGTTTGATTCCAATATTTGAAAAACCGACTTACCTGATTTGATTTCTTTTTAAGAAAAAATCGATTTAAACCGAACCACAAACACCCCTAATTGAAACATAGCAAATAAATTTCTAAGAAGAATATAACCTTCTTAGGGAAGTAGCTTATAAGACCTAACAAAATACTCCCTCCATCCCAAAATACTTGTCATGTTTAACTTCTGGAGAGTCAAACTATATAAATTAATACCAACATTTTAACATGTAATTTTTTACCATATTGATACGAGTAGAATTGCAGATTATAGTACTTTTCATATAATTTTTGAATATGTAAATTTTAGTTTAAAATATTGATTAATCCAAATCAATTTAGCTTCAAAGATTAGGCAAATTGACTCTCGAGATTGACAAATATTTTGAGACGGAGGTAGTAACCTTCTTCCCCTTTATGGAAATGTTTCACAATCCACACTTTGTTTGCTTAATCATTGTCCAAGAACTTCCAGAATAAGAAATGAAAGATCAGATATTCGGAAGCAAAAACCTACATATAGCTGTGATTTTATATATCATGATGTACAACAATGTAAATACAGACAGAATTGCTTCTAGCTAGCCACAGCAATTCTCGAGAGACATGCATACGATGCATCCAGGTAGTGTGAAATGAATAAGTAAAACTATGTAAATATCAAAATATACTAGACCGATCCTTATTTCATCATGAACTGGATTTTCTACCATTTAGCAGGGATATTAAATTAATGGATGCAGATAGCAGCAATATCCGCAGATACAAGTTATCAGCACAAGACTCTTGATCTACCATCTTCTTCCCCGAGAATCAGGGATCTTTAAGGTATGAGCAGACATTCCACGAATGTTCCAGTGTGGAAGGTGATTGAGAAAAATGTCGCCAGTGTGGATCATAATGTCGTCAAGATCCCTGACTGGTTTGAACACAGACAAGAGCAGTCTGGTTCAGGGAGCTCCCTTTTCACCAGTCGCTTGTCACGATTTATCATTAACTTAACAAGCGGTAACTTCAAAGAAACCTGTCGCCAAATTTCTTTTACGGTTCCATTTGGGTCCTCATATTCAAAGTAATGCTTCACCTGGAGATGCCACAAATTTCAAGAGTACAAATGTAAAACTCTTCATTCTACTAACAAAAACAGATCCGAACATGTTGGTACGAAAATCAAAGGGTTTCTTATGTTGATTAGATGTTAAAGAGTCCACATAAGCTAAAGCATGAAACACGTGAAGTTCATTCAGGAAAGATAAGATGGAGGAACAAGCAACACAGTAACCTATCCAGAACAGACCATAGTGTGGTCTACCTGCAAGGAACTATATCATGCATCAACTAGCTGTTCTAGCCACCAATAGTTTTTCCATTTCATGATTAAATTGCTGACATAAAGCACTAGAATTAGCTGGATAAGAGATCTTATGCCTTTGCTTGCAATTAAATGAGTCAACATCAAGTTCTTAGAGAGCATGTTTCCAAATAAACAAGATTCATTCAGCAGATATCTCATATCTGAACTTTTTCAAATGAAATTGAACACCTTAGCTTAAATTTAAGGGCGTATCCATTTATTGGCACTATTATATACAGTGTTCAAAGGAGTAACATTTAGAAAAGAAACAATAAAAGAAAATGAAAAATTTAAACTAAAAATTACAGAACCTGTTGATACATGTTTCTCACCCTGATTACATTTACAGTACCTATTGCTTATGATTTCCTGGCATCTGACCTAAATTTGAAACCGATTTACTGAATATTTGTCTGTTTGTCTCTTGAAGCAATGCCCAAACTTTACAAACTAATTTCACAAATTGAGAACAAAAACTGCATCCATTTGCAGATCTGAGCATTAGAAGAGACAACTTGAGATGCATGCAGTCACAATATCTATGTTTTCAGTGATCCAACAGGTAGAGAACAGCCCTATAGACAATGGGACATAACAAACCTACACTGGTCCTTGCCCATACCTCCTAGCGATATTTCTAGCCCTGTATTTATAATCCATGTATGGTTGTCTAGGCACTTTAGTGCGATAGGTAAAGGAATTATATTTTTTTATTAAGGTACAAGAACTAAGCTCAATCCGAACAAGTTGGAGTCGGCTAATATTTTGATTAAGCTAAGGAATTATAATTTATTGGTTAAGTTAAAAGAATTATAATAAAAGAGCAACCCAAGGGAATGTCTCCCTATAAAAGAAGTATAACTCGTAAGAGTCCAATAAAGGTCAAAAATAATAATGAAAAGATTCTGTTCTTGCCGGATTACTCCCTCGATATGATGTCACCCCCAGGGGTTAATAAGCTCAATTCTCCTTGTCAAATTATCAAGATTATTTCACACATCTTATGTGCATCAGCTTTTGATGTTGTTTCTCTAATTCTTTTTTCCTTTTGCTTTTTCTTCTCTCTGTCTGAAATTCCCCAACCATACCCTTCTGCTACAGCAGATTCCCATCTTTAAGGCAGAAGTGGGATAGGTATTTCCATATAACTTCCACTCATTTGCATCTTTCTTGTCTCTGTCAAAAGACATCTTTGAACAAGACAAAAAAGGAAAACACACACGTCACACGCACGCACACACACAGAGACACACTGTAGAGTGCATGTGTATATCTATTGGTTTTACCACTTCCCAATCATAGCAGCAAGAAAACAAAGGCTAATTATGTACTAGTGCAATATATGCATGACTACTTTAATTTATGGCTGTAACAGGAAGAAGAATTATGTACTAGTAAATACCTTTTTCAGCTCCAGTTGGAATTCCAAAATCCTCTCCATGCGTACTTTCCTTAGCTTTTTAACCAAGAACCCCGGTTTCACAGCTGTGTTAGAGTCTACAAAAACTGCAATTTTCCTGTAGTCTATAACATCCTCAAATGGCAATTCAATGTAATCACTGATGATTACAGGGACGCACAAGCTCACAATAGCATCAAAAAGTCGGCAAGCTGATGGAGTATCACCAGCTGGATGCAAACAAAACTTTGAAGTGTGCATCCCTTTTCTTGCCTCACGACGGCTCTCCCTAGATTGTGCACCATGTTTAATTATGACATCTTCTTCTTTCTCAAGTAATTGAAAAAGCAAATCACGAATCTTTCCTCCCTGAAACATTAGCAAAACAAGCTTTACGCAAATAACTATGGAACTCTGATGTGAATTGATAGCAATAAACAGGAGCGATGCCTTTTTTCTTCTTTTCTTTTTGCTGACAAGTATAGTGTAACCAATTTCGTCAAATAAAGTATCCTAACAGAATAAATTTAGTAGTATCAATTTCTGCAAATGAGATGTCTTAAGGGAAGACGTTATTCTTGTTAAGAAAATAGACCTTAAGCCTAAGTCAACCCCAAAGATCACTAATGAGAAGAGGAATACCCAAGACCATATAAGAAGACATCAGCCAATATCCTCAACCAATGTAAGACTCTAACACCCCCTCCCTCTCGTATGCACAGGCGTAGACATTTGGAGAGTGGAAAACATAAAATGAAGCCCAACATTGAGTAGACCAAAAAAAAAGGGATAGGCATGGGCCTAAAAAAGAGAAAGTAGACGTTGGGCCTAACTCAGCCCCAAAAGCTAGCTCATGAGGTAAGAATTGCCAAAGATCATATAAGGAGACAACAACCTATACCATCAACTAATGTGGGACTCTAATAAATCTCTTCCATCGGTTTGAATCTCTGAGAAAAGATTTACTGAACAAAGGCAGTAAAAGAGATAAAGAAAATAGTTAAGTTAAAAAAGAAAAAGGAAAACAAAATGAGGTAAAGAGAATTAAATTTTGAGCAGAGAGCAAGAATTTAAAGATTATGTAATGACTGCACACAAGCTCAACACATCCATTGACCTCAGATACCATTTGACCAGTCATTAATGGGTTGGCGCTTTTGTATGCTCTTCACTAGTATTAGCTCAAGGAACTTGAGCACATACACAAGTTCTGTTAATCACCGAAAAATCCCCTAGTGCCTGGCGCACTATTAAAACTCGGTGGATAATGGACTCGTTTCACCAAATTAAATAACAGGCCCTATGGTAGGGTTCGAAACCGTGACGTGCGACTAACTCACACATCACGTCCTGCACTTGTACCACTAGTACAATGTCATTCAGCCATCAGTTCACTGCATCAGATTAAGAACCATATGTCCTAAAGTTTAAACTGTGTGCAGTGATTCATTATTGCCTTGGTGGCTGTGTCAAAATCACAAAGTCTTCTTTCCCAGAGTTCCCCATTTGGGGGAGGGGGTTGGAATGTAGGAGGTGGAAATACTCTGTAGAAATTTGAATAGCTTACAAGTGATGAGAATGGTCAGGACAGATTAGCTTACAAGTGGAAATACTCTGTAGAAGTTTGAATAGCTTAAGCATTTCTATAACCTATAAAAAAAGATTTTAAGCCACTCTATCAAGACAGGCTAGCATAGCAGACCAACCGGTGAACTAATGGAAGACCATCCCAACTAGTACTTGGTGGATTTTATTCATAAAGAGAAAGACACCAAAGATGTTTGAGGGCAGGATAGATTCCAACCTTCGTGGTCGGTACAACTGCATAATTTTACTAGATTTTTCGTGTAGGTTGGTATATGTAAATGATATAGACACACTCCTAGTTTTATCAATTCCTTACAAGCTTAAAGAAGGAAAACTTCATCAAAGGCATATCTCTCAGAACCACCTTGCCATAAAATCTGTCTTATTCAGAAAAAGAATGAAATTATGAATCTGTGCCCGTCTGTAGTAACTCGGCACAAGGAAATGCAGGATATCTTACTTATAAAAAAAATGCAGGATATCTTAGTTCCTTCAAGTGCTGTTGCTTTCTAGACTTTAGACAGGATGGATGACAGTTAATCAGTTAAAAGTGTTTATTCATAGCAGACACTAGATAATCAAATACCAAATAAAGAAAATTTTCCAATCAATTACCTCCTTTCTATATCGATTGCCCATGAAGAAGAGCAAGGAATTCCGATTTTCAATGCCAATATTCCCAGTATATGTATTGATCCGATGTGAGTAGGGCAAGATGACATCCTTAACAAGTGATGCTTGATTACGAGCCAATCTTCCAAAATCAGAAACTAACAGCACCCCGTTCTTCACCCTATCCACAACCTTGTATAAAGCATTAGGATCCTGGCATATAAATACATGATCCCAGCCATTGTTCCTTTTCCAATACTCCTGCTGCTCCAACCATTCAATTAAAGACTCCTGCAACATGAACCATGCCATCACATGCCATTTTTATGCAAGAATTCATTTCTGAACAAAAAAGTTATGAACAGAAACAAATGCATTTATGGATTTAAGAAGCATGAGGAGACCAAAATTCTCTCTCTCCTTCTTCTTTTTGTTTTAATGATTACAACGTTGTCCAACCCAACTTGTGCACACCTCGACTAATACATTGAGTACCAGCTAACGCAGGTGAATAATTCTACCCACCAAGTCTAAGCCAGATGGAAAGAATTCAACTGGTCTTCTCAATCCTTGGTTTGCAAGTTTGTCACACCAACTCTTAAACGGGCCACCACCTTGAGGGTTGAGAACCATAATTCTCAACAAGACATTTGCAACAAACAGATCAGGGTGTATTAATCTATGTTTCCCAAAATGGACATGTTAGAAGCTCAACCAGGATAGATCATTTAAAACACAATGTATTGATTATAGCTAAATTAACAAGTACGGACTAAAAACACAATTTATGACAGAAAAAAGATGAAAACTTTAACTGGAAAACACAAAACAAGGCAATTCCAGAAGCCCGAATAATGAAAAAACCAAACAAATAGGCATATAAGGGATCAAGTAAGCTGCATTAAACTCAAAAGAAATGCTAGCACCCTGATTGCTACAATTGACAGCATTTTGATAATTTTCACATCTGACAAACTACAAGTTACAGATATACAAGATCAAAACTTTAACTTGATGACACCACAATGCAAGAAAATCTGACAAATATGCAAAAGAGTCCAAAAAATGCGATCACATTAACCCCAATTCGAAAAAAAAAACTTCCACAGCAAATAGCAGTGAATTCCCACCTGCATCTCCTCATCACTGTACACAGGCCTATCCCCGGGTGGAACAACAGTACCAGGTCGAATCGGATTCGCCACGAGACTCAACGATGAGAAGAAAGGCACGTAAAAAAGGTCAGCTTCCTCAGGGTCCAAAACCCGAGTGACGGCCGAGTCAACCCGTTCTCGACTCGGCCGTTTCAGGTCAGAAAACAAGTACCACTCAGCGGAATGCTGATTCCCAGGATACTTAAGCAACGAATCACCACTCTGTTTTTCACCTCCCCTTGCTAATGCATAGCTCTCAATAACCCCATATGTAAACTTCCTAGGCAGATCATACATATATACTTTCACGGGTGGAAAATTCTGGCCATTTTTTTCTCCGAAACCAAATAAAGAGTTTCTTGTAGTGGAATTGTTTGGTGGGTTAGGGAATATGAAGGTGTTGAAGAAAACATATAAAGCTAAGATAGAGAACAAAGTGGTGGCAAGTGTAAGAGTAGTGGGTTTGAGATTTAATTTTCTAGGGGGCATTTTGTTGTTGAGATTTGGGGTTAGGGATTTGGGAGAGGGCGGAGAAGATGGAGAGGGTAGTGGAGGTGATCTGAGTTTGGGTCTTGGATTCATTGATTACTCACAAGAAGCTTAGAGGCAGGCCATGAGAAATCTGTAATTTTCCTTTCAGAATGGAGAACTTTCTTTCTGTTTTTTTTTTGGTCGGGTTTACCAATATTTGTTAATATTTTGTTCATTATTTTAATTGATATTGAAAAACTTGTTTAATAGGAGTAGTATTTCAAGGGAATTAATGATTTTAATTCACAAAACTTTAGTAACTTTTTTTTTTCAACTTCTAACTCCAAACACTCCTATGTTCTTCTTCAACTTATTTTCCCCAAATGGAAAAGAGAAGGGAAGGAAGGGGAAAGTGAATGGTAAAGGTGAAGGAAAAGTGATGAAAAGATCAAAAGGAAATTATATTTTCTGAATTACTTTTATAACGCTTTGATCATTTTTTCCTGATATTTTTTAGTTTTTTGTATAATCATCTAGTATTTCGAACAAAGGTTTCTCCTTCTTAGAATTTAAATTCGAGACTTCTGATTAAGGGTTGAATATATGTTTCGTTATATATTTTCCATATCAACAATGTTCAAGTGTTGAAGGAAGGCAATATAATTCATATCATACTGAGAGTAAAATTATTATAAGAATAAATATGGTAATATGAGTATATAACTCAATATATCTCTATCCATAAAGGAAATCGCAAACAATTAAAGAAAATCAAATGGTGCTTTTAGGTTTTATTAAGTATACAAGTATTCAACCGAAATGGTTGACAAATACAGTAAAACTTCACTTTAACATCTGCGTTTGTTCCGATATTTTTTGAATGCTATAGTGAAGTGTTGTTATACTGGATATATATTATAACACAGCAATAACAATCGGTTCCGAGAAAAACTTGGGTTTATCATGAATGACTGTTATATAGGGATGATGAGATCTGACTGTAGTTACAACTTGGAGGAACAAAGGATTATCAATGCCTGCCGCAAATTGACTAAATCAGACATGAATCTCGCAATTGTATTCAACTTTGGGAATTCGATGTTTTTGTTTGATGACGATAGTAGTGTCCAAATCAGCTCAAACGCACCTAGATTATTCCACCAGGAGGTAACTGCTACTCGGGAAAAAATCCCATAGTGTTTAATGCTTCGTTCTTTACGGCTATTCTAAAATGGGAGAACCAAATGTCTAGCTACATTAAGAAAGAGCTTTAGAGAAATAAGTGATGCAGAGTAGGGGTTCAGCATAGCACATACATAATACCAACAGCAGAAATAAACGGCAGTATGGAGAAGAAAAACAGTCAAAATCCTTCACAAAATCCGCGCAATGAAGAAAAATGTCTGAGTCATTCACCAAATATACTTGAATCATTTTTAACAATAGTACTTTAATAACGGCAGGCCACAGAATTTGAACAACGTGCGATGTTTACATCAATGCTGAGAAATGGAAAACTTGCAGGCAAGGTAACCAAGAATGATTCTAACCGGGGGGCCATTTCAGCTGTCTCCCGCCAAGTACATGCAGGTGAAGATGGTATACAGATTGACCTATGAGAGAGAGAGAGAGAGAGAGAGAGAATTAGTAATTACTTCAGTAAGTACTGTCAAACTTCTTTTTGATTCCTAAAAAAGATGCAGAAAGAAAACTTTAGATGCATATGAGATGTAAATAGCATTGTATTCTCTTCATAGTTTATACAAAAAATTCCCCTTATAGCACTTAGGTTCACATTTTTGGAGGAGAGTGGGGGGGAGTATTTGAAGGGAGATAGACTTACATGCAGAAGCACCACTGTTAATGACAACTCGAAAGCCATCGACAATGCCTTCTTTCTCTGCTACTATCTTGGCAGCATAAAGGAGGTTACCCAATATATCTTCATGTCTTTGTTCAGCCTTCAAAGATTGGAACAGAACCAGTTGCAAGATATCAATTACCAGAGGAAATGGCACAGAAATGAACATCAGCAAAATGGACTTTTTTCCGGATAACTGCTAAGTTGCTAACCTATAAAGCTGTTCACAGCCCCTAGATTCCACTCTCTCCCTAAATACTTCTATTCTTTACTCAGCAAAATCATCACTGCAAACTATACGCACTTTTCACATACAAGTGCTACAACTTCGTACTATCATCCAAAATATGTGTTTGCCTTGACCAACGGGGCTCTACAGAACTCAATTATAGGGGCAAAAGTCGGTACGAAAAGGGATATCAACTTGTGGAGATATTGTGGTCATCTATTTCTGCTGTGGGATAAATAGTATAGACTCTCACACCCCAAATTTTAGCAGAGAAAATTTGTGATTTGTGCTATACCAAAAGTCAAGATGCGCATTCCTTGAAAGCTGAAACTAGGCATGGAATGTGTGCTAGAATACATACCACAGCGATAATATTATCAGAAAAGTAGATGAAGGAAAAAAAAAGCACCACCTTGCCAAGCTCTGTTAATCCATCCCTCAACTTCGGGATAACTAGAACATGAACGGGAGCTTGAGGATTGATATCGCGAAAAGCAAGGACCTTTTCATCCTCATATACTACAGAGGCAGGTATCTCCTTTGCAATGATTTTATCAAATCTGAATGCAGAAACAAATTAATCAGAATGCGGTGAGCCTAGATGATCATTCAGTCACCATGTCTGACAGAAAGTATGCAAGTCAAACTGTGGATGTTCATGTCAAATTTACTACTATGAAATAAGAACTTAAGCAGCTCGTTTAATTAACCAAGATCAGTATAATCATTCTTTCTCAAGGAAGGCAATCAAGAAGCATATAAACAAACTCTTCTCACAACAAACACTTGTTGCCTTGTAAAATTCAAATATCCAATTAACATCAAATCTTTCCTTTTTTCTCTTTAAGATAGAAGTTGTTAGGTGATTTATAGTACAAAATATATTAGATGGAACAATTGGAGGCCAAATATGAGGTAACATCTTGAACAAAAGCTGAACGATGATATTTAATGAGAATTGAAGTAATTATTTTTTTGATAAGGGAGAATTGAATTAATCATTTGAAGAGTCAGAAATCCGATTACTATCTAGGTCACATCCTTCTCAAAAGTAGACATAGCTGTTGTTCTTAGAGATGCACTTTTAGTTATCATCTACCATAAGTAATCAGGAAATTTCATGGGAAACAAATAACAGATGTTGTAGCAATCAGCCTTTTTATTGTTGCTGACTGCTATGTGCGTAAAAAACCTTATGTACTAATGCATCTGATTCCAAAATCCGGACTCCAGTTCTTGAGAAACCTATACACTAGGGAGGTTTTTGAAATGAGAAACGCAAGTAAAAAGATACCTATCCTAAAGAAAAGCACAATACACAAAAAGATGCAGAGTTCAAAATAATGGTATTGACTTACAATTTTTAGTGCCAACAACTTCGACGTTTTACTTAAAAGATAACTCTACAGTGTGATTCTTCTTCAATAATTATCTCCAGTAGTCAATAAAATTAAAGGACTTCTATTTCCATAAGGATAAGGAACACATAAATTCTATAGTCAATCAGAAAGAGTGATACAAACACTCTGTTAATTTGTTTCAAGTTTTGACAATCTAAACTTATCGAGTAATAGAACTATCCACAGGAAAATAGTACATGGTTGGAGCTCCAGTATCAGCATTTACGGCAGCTGTCCTGGCAGCTGCTTCCTCATCATGTGCAGCAGCTACATAAGACCTGTCTTTAACAAAAGAAAACAAATTTCAATGAGAAACTTGAAGAGGAACTCTGGGAGCAGAGAAAGCGCATTCTAAATTACAAATATTCCTATAAGTAAGCTCCTGATTTGCATTTGTTTTAATTAAACATAGAAAACGGTTATCATAACTTCTCACGCTCAGGGGCTACGCTAGAAACTTCTTTTCTAGTGCAGAAATAGTTTTTATAAGTATTTTACTGCAAAAGTAGTTTATAAGATAGTGACGAGACTATATCAGATTTTTGCCTGAAATTGTTTGATTCGAAACAGTGATCTTGTGTAGAATATGAAGATTTAGGATACGACTTGATTGCTACTAATTGGAGTTTACGTAACATGTAAAATCAACTAATCTATGTAAGTAGTACAAATTCATAACTGAGCTTGTGAGAATAATCAAGCTCGTATTCCATAGGTTAAAACTAAACAAAGTAGTTCACAGCTGTACTGATCTACTTGTCAAGGCACTAAAGTTCCTATCTCGTGAAGTCCGTCCATGCAGTTGATAAGAGCTCATCATTACCAGCAATAGAGAAAGCATATGAAAAAAAGAAACTTCCATGCAAAACAATACCTTTGCAATTACAAGATAAGGCTCTACCCACATAGAAGAAGATTACCTCCCACGCACAAGTTACTACAGGTAATGCAAACTCACTGACAGATATAGACCCTTAATTAATGTTATTCCTGATTATAATTTTCCTCACAAAGGATTTTAAACACATCAAAAACAATTGGGAAATCCTTATGAGGATCAAAGTATTATCTTTATGATATGTTGGAGTCGAAGTCTGGCTTATAGCTTCAGTTACAGCTTTAAAATAAGAGAATGATAACGATTAAGGGTAATAGCATTCAAATGACAACTGACATGACTACAATCACCTATTTGCGTGTAATGCAGTAAAAGAGAAGCAACACAGAAAAAGCATTCCACTTTGAAATAAAAACAACAAAGACTCAGACTACCAAGAACAGTAATGATCCCTCGACGAAGATGACATATTCAAAAGATTCGGTAGCTCCACCACACTGTACAATCTCAGACAACCATCAAGGAACTTGCATTCAGATGACAAAAAATGTATGGAATGACTTGTCCGGATTAGTATTTAGTACAACAGTATCACTCTGCCCCCATTTTTATGACACACATTCCATTAGGGAACAACCCCTAATGTTTTGACACCATTACATTGTCAGTAACTCGATATTCATAAAATTATTCATTGTCTATCAAATAACTTTTCAGCCATTACTTAAGATTCTTCAACTATCACTAATATAATTTGCAAGTCAAATTTAATATCTTAAACACCATAATTAGAATACTGATAAGGATTAATCAGACTACAAGAAACCCAAGAAGCGTGTCAGAAAATGATAGATTCCTCAACAAAAACAAGACAAAGTTAATAGTACAGCAGCTCCAGCTTGCAGTACAAGCTCACCCCACCAAGAACAACACATAAGCAATGTCTGTTTAATCGAATATGTATATTATATTGAGCCGCTAAAGTCCGGTTTTTAAGAGAAATTTACAAAACCTGAGAGAATGAAGGGGAAGACCCAAAGCTGGTGGAGTTGTTGGTATGAAATTTGATGCCTTTATGAAACCCAAAGCTTTCACTACTGAAGGGCCTCTGCATATATGAAAAAGAATCACATCTTTATCAATGAGTGGAGAGGAAAGAAGGAGAAAGTGGGCGGGGGAGGAAAATGTACCGCAAAAGGGTGAGAGAACTCATCATAGCAGCCATGGGAGTGAGAGAAAACGAAAATGCTGCAATTTATTGGTCTAATAGAGGAAATTGAAGAAAATCTAAGGGTCTCTGCGCAATTACTTTTATTGTTTTTTTTTTTTTGGGTTAGAAATAATAACTTTTCATTCATTAACTAATTCTATTACATAAAGCAAGAGTCCCATTGGGCTCATCCGTAGGTACGGTCACCATATTGTTTACATTAGGATTGCAAGTTACAAAAGAGTTCCCAGTTCAACTAACTTAGCAAATAAAGTAGTAGATACAACCCTATATTTTGTAGAGCCAATCTTATTATCATGGACTATTTTCAAAAGGACATTCGGCGGTTGTTCCAAAAAAGATAGAGGGCTATTGTTTGCTTGCTTGGATCCCTGGGGTGGCAAAAAGTGAGCAACTTTGTTTCCTTCCTTGCAGTTATGCCGGATCGGCGGATTCACCAATTTCTTCAGTAGTGACTTGCACTCAGTAACCAAGTTAGAATATATTGAACAAATATCTTCGTCGAGTAGGCGAATTATATTTGTAGCATCAGTTTCAATTTTTAAATTTAACAGGTTTCTTTCACTGGCTAGTTGTAGCCCAGTCTTGATAGCTAGAAGCTCCATGTAAGCAGCGGTATAGGCAACGACTGAGGTGCAAAAATCCAAAATCCAGTCCCCATGATTATTTCTAAAGATTCCGCCGGTGCCTCCTTTCTTATATTTTCCTTTGAAGGCACCATCGATGTTGAGTTTGAGGGAAAAAAATTTCGGCGGGAGCCATTTTATAGAAATGGTTGTAGTTGGAGGGGTGTAGCTAGGGGAATTTGTAGAATATTTATATTCTTTACAGCGCATGATAACCATATCAAGTGGTAGTTGGCTGCATAAATTGTAAAAAGAATTGTTATTCCTATTGAGCCACAGGTGCCAAATAGCGAATGGAAAGAATTCTTCCCATGAGATACCCCAATGATCTAATGCTATGTTAGAGTCATTTAATTTAGTGAGCCAATGCTCAGAATTTTGGTTAAGGGGAAGAAAATTTAGGTGCGAATCGCTCCAAAATTTTATGGCTATAGGGCATTCGAAGAAAACATGGGTAATTGTCTCCTCTGCCCCTTTGCATATAGAGCAAGTAATGTCAATGTTAAGACCAATTTGATGGAGATAATTTTTGGTAAGGAAGCCGGTTATGGGAACATTGCCAAAGAAGATATTTTATCTTATGAAGAGTGTTTAGCTTCCAGATCTAATGGAACTTAGAGGTATTAGAAGTTGGCGCGGAGAGAAATTTATAAGTAAAGCTCGTGAAAAAGATATCGTTTGAGGTATGACCCCAAGTAGGAATGTCTCTAGTGTTATTAATGGTGGCAAGATTAATGGAAAGGATTTTGTTCCTTATATCCTTAGGCAGAATAAAGGGTAGTTTGGAGAGGTCCCAATTGTTAGATGTCAAAAGATCCTTGACTTTGAGGGTTTGATCAGATTAGTTCATTGGCCCTTGAATGGGAGTATTCAAGGGTGGGAGACTCGGAATCCATGCGGAGAACCAGCAGCTAATGTTTCCTGGACCAATTATCCGATGAAGACCCTGATTGCAGATTTTCCAACCTGTTAGAATGTTATTCCAAATGAAAGAGTGGGAGGTGGGGTTTCACTTATGTCTGTATTTATTAATAAGTGTTTTGGCCCATATAGAACCGGGATTGGTGAAGAGTCTCCAAGAGAGACTAGCCAGTAAGACTAAGTTTTTTCCAGATGCTTTTTTAATTCCCATCCCCCCGCGTGCTTTGGCTGAGTGACGGTGGACCATTTTATGTAGTGAATTTTCTTTTTCAGAGTGGTAGAGCCCTAGATAAAATCTCTTTGTATTTTATCAATTTGCTTAAGTGTGGAGGAGGGGAGTAGGTGGTATTGCATTGCATGGTTTGGGATAGCGTTGAGAGTTGATCTAGCTAGGGTTGTTCTTCCTGCAATTGAAAGAAATTTTATTTTCCAACTGGCAAGCTTTGTGTTCATGTTGTCAATGATGTAGCGTAATCGGAGGCCTTAGGCTTACATGTGAGAATAGGGAATCCCAAGTATTTACCAAAATTATCACTGATTCTAATGTTAAGAATATTGGCGAGGTGAGTTTTGGTTTGGGTGTCACAGTTTCGCGAGAAGATGATTTTTGATTTGGTATTGTTGATTTTTTGCCCAGAGATTTGAGAGAAGAAGTGAAGGCTATGCTTTATTGTGTGGATTGACTTTAAGTTGGATTGGCTGAGAGATTTAAGTCATCCGCATAGAATAGATGTGAGAGAGATGGGCCGGTGGGATTGAGCTTTATTGGATCCCAGAGTCCAATGTTAACTTGATGATTAATATATTTGGACAATAAATCCATGCAGAGGATAAAAAGGTATGGAGACATTGGGTCGCCTTGTCGTATACCTCGTAATGGATGGAAAAAGTCTGTTTCGGACCCATTGACTAGGATAGCAATTCTAGATGTACCGATGCAGCTCATAATAAGCTTAGTGATACGCGGGGGGAATTTAAAGAAGAGTAAGGCGCGGTAAATGAAGGACCATTCAAGTCTATCGAAAGCTTTTTCCAGATCAATTTTAAGAAGGACCTTCCCCTGGCGACCTTTAATTTTTTGGAAATGGTTAATCATCTCTTGAATAATAATGTCGTTGTCACTAGTTCTTCTACCTTTGAGGAAGCTAGTTTGGCAAGGGCCAATTAGTTTGTCAAGGTAGGGCTTGATTCTGCTCACAATAATTTTTATAATAATCTTGTAAATAGTGTTGTAAAGTCCTATGGGACAAAAATTATTGAGGTTATCGGCGTTGTAAATTTTGGGATGAGGCAGATATAGGCAGAGTTAAGGGCTTCAGGAATTGAGAGATTTTTGAAAATATTATGGCAAAAAGTTAAGACAGAATTTCTAACTATATGCCAATATGTTTGGTAAAAAAAGGGGTGGATACCATCAGGGCCGAGAGCCTTAAAAGGTTTGAAGGAAATTATTGCACGGGAAACTTCAAAATCTTTTAGAGGGCAGTCTAGTGAGGAGAGGTCTAAGCTATCGAAGCTAATTTGACAATTTCGGATATTTTGCAGGGGTGTTTCTATATGGTCAGTTTGAAAAGCTTTCTGGAAATGTTGAGCAGTGTGACTTAGAATTTGTGCCGAGTCATTGATCCAATTACCCTCACTATCTTTGAAAAAGGAGATATTATTCCTTCTTCTACGGTTTACCACATTTAAGTGGAAGAATTTTGTATTAGCGTCCCCACCGTTGAGCTAGTTTAAACGAGAATAAATTTTTGTAACGATCCGACCGGTCGTTTTGAGCTTTTGCACTCCACTCGCCAGTTTCCGGGCATAACTAGCCTCGTATTATGTATTGTGACTTATGTAAATCGTTGGTTTTGGATTTCAGGTTAATCGGAATAGATATGGAAGGATGATTCTCACCTTGAAGCTTAAAGTTTGAAAGATTTGACCAAGTTTTGACTTGTTGGTATATGACCTCGTATTGGAATTTTTATGATTTGGTTAGCTCCGTTAGGTGATTTGAGACTTAGGAGCGTGATCGGAATGTGTTTGGAGGCCCGGAGTAGATTTAGGCTTGAATAGGCGAAATTGGAATTTTGGCGATTTCCGATTGATAGGTGAGATTTTGATATAGGGGTCAAAATGGAATTCCGGAAGTTGGAGTAGGTTCGTAATGTCATTTTGGATATGTGTGCAAATTTTCAGGTCAATCGGAGGTATTTTGGATGGTTTCGGCATCGTTGGTGGAATTTAGAAATTTCAAAGTTCATAGGCTTGAATCCGATGTGAATTTGGTGTTTTGATGTTGTTTTAAGCGTTCCGAATGTTGGAACAAGTTTGAATGATGTTATGGGATATGTTGGTATGGTTGGTTGAGGTCCCGAGGGCCTCGGGTGTGTTTCGGGTGGTTAACGGATCAATTTTTGGACTTTGGACTTGGCAGATTTTCTGGTATTATTGCAGAAACTTCTTGTTCATCGCGTTCACGGTGGGATCCCGCGTTCACGAATAGTAAATGGGGAAGCTGAGGAATTTGTTCTATGCGTTCGCGAGGAAGAGGACGCGAACGCGGAGGTTGAGTACAGTGTTCTATGCGTTCACGCTCAATTGGTCGCGTTCGCGTAGGGTAGTGGCAGCTGGGGACCCCAGGTCCCTTTGGTCAATGCGTTCGCGTGTTAGGGAACGCGTTCGCGGAAGAGTGAGTTGGTGAAGCTCCGCGTTTGCGAAGCTGTGGACACGTTCGCGAAAGGCATTTTTGGAGGCAGGTGAGACTAGCCTACGCGAACGCGAGAGGACCACCGCGTTCGCGTAGAAGGAATAACTGGGCAGTATTTAAATAGCCAATCCGCGACCCTTCTTCATTTTTCCACCATTTTTGAACGGGATTGAAACTTTTGAGGGCGATTTTTGGAAACCAAAGGAGAATCACTTGGAGGTAATATTCTTGACTTCATAACTCGTTTATATGTGATTAAAGGTCTAATTAGTTGTGGAAAATTAGGGAAAAATCGGTGCAAAATGGGTAATTAGGGCTTGAGATAAGAGACCTTAAAATGGGTATTTGAGGGGTCAATTGAACTCCGATTTCAGTATTCTGGATATGTATAGACTCATGGGAGGATGAGGATCATTTTGGCATAAATTTTATCGAGTTCCGAGACATGGGCCCAGGGGGCGGGTTTGGCCAATTTCGGGATTTTTGGTATAAATTGGATATTTTCGAGTGGGCTTTGTTCCCTTAGCATATTTTTATGGTATAAATCGGTTTTTGGATAGATTTGGAGCATCCAGAGGCCGACTCGAGAGGCAAAGGCATCGCGGGCTAGAGTTTGGACCGGATATAGGTAAGTAATGATTGTAAATACTGTCCTGAGGGTATGAAACCCCGGATTTCACATCGTTGCTACTTTGAGGTGACGCACACGCTAGATGACGAGCGTGGGGTCGTGCACCGTTGGGGATTGTGACTTTGTCCATCCCGTACGACTATTAAGTCGCGTATTTTACATGAAAACTATTTGATATTGTTATATTTTGGAAA